ATGCATTTGATCTGTGGTGCTGGAGAAGAATATTGAAAGTACCATGGACTGCTAAAAGGTCAATTGATCTACCTTGGAATTAGTATGGTCCGAATACTCCTTAGAAGAGTGGTTTTCAAGCTTCCTAATGGCATGACCCTTTAATACAGGTCCTCATGTTATTGTGACCCCCAACCATAAAATTATTTTCATTGTTACTTCATAACTGTAATTTTGCTACTATTATGAATTGTAATGTAAATATCTGATATACAGAATGTATTTTCATTGTTACAAATTGAACATAATAATTAAACATAATTAAATCATAGTGATTAATCACAAAACAATATGTAATTATATATTGTGAAATATTTATGTGTTTTCCAATGGTCTTAGGTGACCCCCGTGAAAGGGTCATTTGACCCCCAAAGGGTCATGACCCACAGGTTGAGAACCGGTGCCTTAGAGGAAAGGCTCCTGAGACTTCATCTTACATGCTTTGGACATGTTGTAGAGACCAGTCCCTGGCAAAGGATATCATACTTGGTAAAGTGGAGGGACAGCAAACAAGAGGAGGGCCTTTGACAAGATGGATTGACACTGTGTCTGTAACAATGGGCCGAAGCCTAGAAACTGCCTGGTGCAGGACTGGGCAGTGTTTTGTTCCATTGTGCATAAGGATACGATGGGTAGGAACCAATTTGACATCGACTAGGAACATGCCTGTGGTTATAATCCCCTTTTGGAGGGAGTTCTCTGCTATGCTAACTGAAAGGATTAAGAGAGAATTAAATCTCTACTTCAGTGGAGGGGTGAACCAAGTCACTGCCCTTTGGGGTATGGTCTGCTGAAAGACAAAAACCCACATCTTTATCAAAGCTATTGCTCTGTCTATAAGAGCCATCTCAGAAGCAGAAAGAGAGAAGTACAGGACTATAAAGGAAGAAGTACCACCAATGGAGCACACTCCAGATCTGTGCCGGAAGCTCAGAGGCTGTGGCACAGTCCTAGGACAGAGCAGGGACCCAAGGCAAGACCAGAGGCCAAGCCAAGGAGCAGCCTGGGGACTGGAAGACTGGGAGGCAGAACAGTGGGCTGCTTGATAACCCATCGAGGCAGAGGTCAAGGGAGCCACATGGCTGAGAGGATGAGGGCTGGAGAGAGACTTAGTCACTGGCGGAGTCACTGGTGCTGCGGGCCAGTGACTAGATCCTTAAAACTGTTTACGGATTCTGACTGGTGGCAACCTGTTAACTTCCCTTATCAACTCCCTTAATCATGAAGATTGTCTGCGAGTTCTGTGAGGCCATTGCAATGAATTATCAAACCCAGTGTAGAAGCAGAGTTTCAGGGGAGGAATGGCTGGCATAAGAGTAGGTAAAGAAGTATGGAGAGCGGAGGTGTGTTAGTCCAAGTTGACCAGAGAAACAAATCCAGAGACACTCATATATATATGTAAGAGAGGATTTTATATCAAGAAGTACTTATGCTTCAATAAAACATCCCAGCCCAGTCCAGATCAAGTCCGTAAGTTTGATATTAGCCCATAAGTCCATTATTACCCATGAATTCCTCTTTAGACTCATGTAGCACCTGCAATGATGCCAAATGCAGGAAGATGACAGGCCGGTGTGGGTGAAAAGTCCCGTGGCTCCAACAGCGGTGGACGCATCTTCCTCAGTGGCTCCATATGGCTTGTCAACAGGAAGGTGAAGCAGAGAGACAGTGTGTCCTGCCTCTAGGGAGGAAGAGAGGGAGTTCCCAGAATCCTTGTGATTAGGCCATGCCCACAAGGAGATGTCTTCAGGCTGTGATCTGACTGACAGGCTATACTCCACCCCTTCATTCTTTTATCAAGTTGACATGAAATTGTGTAACTACCACAGGAGGCATGTCTAACCTCTGTCTTATGGCAACAGGGAAGCCAGAGGTCTGTTATGACCCTCCCTGCAGGAAGTTACTTAGCTTCTTTAAGATTTTTCCTGTGCATCAAATTAGAAAATAACATTTTCTACCTCATGGAATTGGGGTGACAAGTAAATAAAACAATGCCCATGAAGAGCAATACATTTTTTAAATCTGTTCTTAGAAAATGGTATGACAAAGGAGAATAAGTTCTGTGGAGAAAATAGCAACTTGGCTTGGGTTTTGGGTAAGTCCCTCACCCAAAGTTTGTTGTTATAAAATAAGACTCTTTAAGATGTCATGTCCCTTCAAGTCATTTCACAGTCCCCTTAAAGGACATGGATTATCCCATTGGGAGAGGAGGCTGTGGGGTGATTTTTTCACCATCTCTTTCCAACTAGACTCTAGCCCAGTGATTCTCAAGGTCACGACCCTTTGGGGGATGAACAACCTTTTCACAGGGGTCATTGCCTAAGACCATTGGAAAACACATATTTCCGATGGTCTGAGGAACCGAGACACCGCTCCTCTATCCGTCTCCAGGCGGGTCCGCCCACATGCAGATACCCCCACCTATGAGCACCCAGCGTGAAGACTGTGACCCATGCTACACCATGCTTCAAGACACAATTTTATTTCTTTGTCATTAGAAATAAGTATTTCACAATATAGAATTACATATTATTCTTGTGATTAATCACTATGCACTGATTATGTTCAATTTGTAACAATGAAAATACATCCTGCATATCAGATCTTTACTTTGCGATTCATAACAGTAGCAAAATTACAGTTATGAAGCAGCAATGAGAATAATTTTATGGTTGGGGTCACCACAACATGAGGAACTGTATTAAAGGGTCGTGGCATCAGGAAGATTGAGAATCACTGCTCTAGCCATTCATGTGCCTTCTTGGTGCCGATCCAGGGCTCAACTGGCTGTGTGAGAAATGTAGGTCAGCTAGCGGGAAGGGCTTTCCAGTAGGCAGAGGTTTTAAATGCTGAGCTGTGGGAAACTGAGAACCCGGAAGATAGTGTATGCAGACAAATTCTCTGTGCTAATACTTAAGGAGTCTGGGAGGCAGATTCTGGTGAAGGAAGACTCCACTTATGAGTTGGCGATGCAAGCTATTCCCCACCATGTCCCTCTGTAATAATGCCAATTCTAAGGTGCTGCTTGCAAGCACAAGGTGGCTACTATAATCTTGAAGGTTTTCTGCTTGAAGGCTGTTTGCCTGAAGGGTGTCTGCCATCAAGAGGGATCAAATTGTCCTACCCTAAGTACGGCCCACTCCCTTCTGATAAGGATCATAGATAGTTCCCCTGGAGGTCAAGTTAGTTCAGGGACAGCCACAGTTAAGCCGCCATCTTAACTCTAGAAGCTGCCCATATTGTTATGTTCGTATGTACCGTTCTGTTATGTGAATGCCTGTATGCCTGTAATACATCCCCTTCCTGTTACTTATGTGTATGGCATGACTTGCTAGCCCAAGATTATATAGGCCTGTTAAACGAATACATTCACTCACTCTCTTGTTCTGGACTCCATGGAAGAGGTGAGCCCTTGCATGCTGTGTCTGATGTTTCTTTAATTGACCATTTAATTACACAACTGCCTCTTAGGACCCATTTGGTTACGGAGGCGGGTATCCCCCCACTAAGCCAAGCAGAAGGGATCCTAAAGTCATGACTCACAGATCAGAGGATTCCACTGGGGCTGGAAGAAGCGCAGGGAACAGAGTTCCCACTTTGTCCTTCTTCAAATCATTAGACCCAGGTCCTAATGTATAGAGCGCTTCTATCAAGACCCTCTCAGGGTTCCTGGTGTCTCCAGGGGGGTCTTTAGAGGGAAGCGTAGGTCCTGGGGACCTCTGTGGTCACCCAGTCTGAACAGCAGCGATCCCATGTTCTGTGGATTTTGTTTGTTTTTTTAATCTTTACAGGAGCTGACAGCTTCATCTTTTGCCCACAGAGAAGGTGGTGAGTTCAAACTGTAGACCTTGTGGTTAGCAGCTAAATGCATAGTCACTGTGCCACCAGAGCTCCGTTAGCAGAGGGTGTTTTGTTTTAAGTGAAAACAGGAATGAGCGGAAGAGAATCAGGATGCTATACATAACTGATTTGGGAAAGTTAAACTTAAGCTGGCTAAAAAATACTTTGAGTGTTTTATTTCTGTAAAAGATTAGGGAACTTATTGACCCATCTCCCCCCAACTCCTTTTAAAATAAAGTCATGATGTGTTATGAATATTACCAGTATTCATCTTAGTCAAAGAATGAGTCAAACACAGATATGTCAAAATACACTTTTGTGTATAAGGTGAAGTTAATAATATAAAGGATGCCAGATATTGTGAGCAATGGTGGCAAAGGATAACTGGGAAGAACATGAAATACAGTGGGTTATGGGCTTGGGCATGGTTTCCCAGGTCTAGAGTTGCTGTTTCTTTCTACAGGACACCCTCTCACACTCAGAGTAGAGATCATGGAAAAGAAATCAGTATGGTTATACTTTACCTACTGTAAAACAAGAGAGGCAGACATTAGGGTGTAATAACAAATGGACAACCCTTCATAGCCTTCAGCTTTCAAAAAAAAAAAGAAAATGCTAGTCCACTGATTAAATTCATATTACTGAAAAATAGCAAATGCATATCTAAGACAGAAGCCAAAGAGTGTACTTTAGAAAAATCTGTAATGTGTTCTTTCAAACAATTCTATGAAACTTAAATATGTTTGGTGTGGTTTTTAAATCTTTTATGAACTCATTTCACTGTTAAATTCTTCACTCAGGACTCACTGGCTTTTGGGGTCCCAGTGATGCCAAAGAATTCTCAGAATGTTTCACCAAATCATATCAGGTTGTAAAATCCCTTCAGTATCTTAAAAAGCAAACAAACCTTTGAGGACATGGACAAGAGAGCATAGGTTACATAGAGAGGTCCTTTTGTTTTTATTTGTACTTAGTTGGCAGTTCAATTCTATTGGTTTCAACAATATGTACTGAGCACCTACTATGCACCAGGCACTGTACTAGAGGCTGGGGACACAAACATGAATAAGACATGAATGGTTTCTGCCACCAAGGAACTCACAGTCTCCTGGGAACAGAAAGGTAGTGCAAATGCTTAAAGTTTATTCTAAAATGGACAAAAATGTCAGTAAGGTAGTAAATACAGAGCGCTTACATACAACCGTATGCCATTGTTTGTAATGTCAAGGCAAACAAAATGGAGACCATTTTTTGAATGATAAAACAATAAAATAATAATTAAGACCTACCTTTTAAAGATTCACATGATAAAGTACTAAAAATTACACCACAGTTTTCAAGTATTTCATACTTAGAAATATTATTGCCCACATTTGTGCTATAGTTGAACTCAAAATTCCAGGTCGCTGCTTCATTCACCTCTCAGCATGCTGGGGTTCAGCTTCTCAGTGAGTTTATGAATTAGAATGGCTAGCTCCTCTGTTGCTTGGCTCTTGTCTTCCAAAAGTTCGTAACGAAGACTGGAAATGTCTTGCTTGATTTCTTTTAATTCACCTAGAGTATTGGTATGAAAAATATGTCATTAGGAAGTTTGCTCACTGACTTTAGAAAGGAGCAAGGAGCAAAATTCGCACAATACAAATATATTTGTTTCATAAAATCTTTAAGATATAAATTTCAACTTATAAAAAAAGGTTTTAAGAAATGCTTGTCTTTGAAAACACACCGCCCTTTGGAAAAAAACTAAGAATACTGTTTCAATAGTACACATTGGGTTAAAGTAATAATCTTTTCAGCTTTTAGCAATGGGTGATTTCTCTAATAACTGACTAAGGCTGAGAACCTGTTCATTCTGGTTCCGTTCTTTGCTGAGAATATGCATTTCTACCCCAATCTAGGGGTCTCAGTACATATGTTCAGCTAAGGCTAGAAATAGAATGACCAGATTCCAAGTCTTGCTTGCACCTGGTTATAATGTAGGTAAGCAATGGATTGATCTTCAGAAGTAAACACTGGAACCAAAATTTACCTTGAATCCAAACAATGATTCTCCAAGTCATTGACAGGTTGGCTTAACTCTTTACAATACAATCGCATGAAAAACATACCTTTTATGGTATTTCCTGGTATCATTATGACATGTGAAGTATACTCTTATGTTCTGTTTTATAGGATTTTTTATAAGGGACTTTTCAATGTTCTGTTTTATAGAACTCTTTTTATTTTAAAGAATCCTAACTCTTATACAAGAATGCACACAAAGTATTTGTGGACTCCATTTATGGTCAAATAAAGAAAGAGAAATTTTTCTTCTTCCTTTCATATATGACAGGAGCTCAGTTGGTACAAGTGGTTATGCATTGGGCCGCTGACTGCAAGGTCGGAATTTCAAAACCAGAAGCCTGCTCTGAGGGGGAAAGACGGGCCTTTCTACTCCCTTAAAGAATTACAGCCGCAGAAACTCACAGGGATAGTTGCACCCTGCTCTATAGGTTCAACTATGAGTTGGCATAGAATCGATAGCAGTGAGTCTGGTTATTTTTTGAGGTCCATATACAACAATACGGGGGAAGTGTTGTTTGCCATTCAACCAGCTCCAAGTCAAGGCAACCCCCCAAGCAGCAGACCAAAATGTTGCCTAGTCTTGTACCGTCTTCCCTGCAGTTGCTATGTTTTAAGCCCATCATATGGCTACTCTGTATTTTGAGTGACTTCCAATCTAGTGGGGGGCTCATCTTCCAACACAGTAAGTGTTAGAGCTGGGTCTGAACTAGGCAGCCCCAGTTTGGACTAAGCTGAAGCAGGTCCGGGCCCTGCACGTGCTTCCATGCACATCCCAAAGGGCAGCAGCAGACGGCACCAGATAAGATAACCAGTGAAACCAGATGTTCTGGGTTCAAAGAAAGCCGCGAGGAGTCGATAAGCAATTCTCGGAGCTTCCAGACCCCGTATGCTGATTGCCATACATTCCTCACCACCCCTTTAAAAACCCTCGCCCCCAGCTGCTGAGCACATCTCTGTTGGCCTAGGTCATGAAACCTTGTCCAGGAGGTCCCCCTAATAAAGCTATTTCTGTTTCTGCTCTCCCTTGTCCTGTCAGTTCTGTCTGTCTTCCTCCCTGTACCTCAGTTTCACCTTTACATTTGGTGCGCGAAAACCCGGGAGAGGTAGGGACGCAGCCCACCCCTCCTCTCTTCTCGAACCTCCAGAGCCTGTCTGAACAAGTGACTTCTGGTCAGTATCTCTCTCTGTATGTTCGTTCTGTCTCGTTTATCTTGTTTGTCGCTCTGGGCACCGGGACCAGCAAACTCATAAGGGAACTTAGGGTCCACGGGAGGCTAACTAGCTGAAAGCCCTGAAAAGCAAGTACGCTAGGAAGCTGAACGTGGTGCCACTGCAGGGGTTTATTCTGCAACCCTACTACCAAGAGGAGCTGGAAATATGTGCCTTTCCCAGAAAGGGGTGGGACGATAGGCCAGTTTCTCGTGTCCATCTTTTCTCTGTGTCTACCTTCTCTCATGTGGCCTCTAGCCTGCTGTCTCTGTGTTTACCTCCTGGGAGTCCTGCTGATAACAGGACTCCTAGCCCCAGGCAGAGGACTGGAAGGCAGAGGGTGTGTCTGAGCCCTTTCTAACTGTTTGTGTGTTTTGTGTTTGTGGCTCTGCAGTGCTTTCTCTAAAATGTTCTGCTTCCCCTTCCTCTCACCCTGAACAAAGACCTGACCAACCTCCATTTTTACCAGCCATAAAGCCAGGCCTCCCTTCCCCCTCCTGGGCTTCCAATTTGTCTCTCTCTGATCTGAGGTCCCTGTCTGCCTGTTAAAGCCGCAGGCCTGCGCCAGGGAACCTTCCTGTTCCGGAGAGTCCAGGACTATCCCACTGGGCCCCTAGCTCTGACTGGGACGCCTCTCAGGGTTACCGGGTCACCTCCTGACTGACAGGTGTGAACGGGTATCAGGGGATGCCTTTCTCCTCTGTCCGTACCCCCTGCAGTTTGAGACACAATGAGAAGTCTTCTGTCCCAACCCCCTAAGGACAGTCCTTTGGGGTGCCTACTGCCAACCTTACTGAATTGGGTTTGGCTCCTGATCTCCACCCTAAATGCCTGATCTTTTTCTGTAACCAAGTTTGGCCTCAATACCAATTGGACAATGAGTCGTGCTAGCCAGAAAATAGCACTTTCGATTTTAATGTTCCCCGCAACCTCAACAATTTTTGTCAACAAACACACAAATAATCAGAAATCCCTTATGTTCAGGTCTTTTTCTTTCTTCAATCCTGTCCCTCTCTACTACCTGTCACCCTGCTCAAGGTCTCTTAGCCAAACACTCTCTTAATCAGGCCCAGACAATACTACCCTTCCGTTTTTCTCCGGAGCCCCTGACTCCTTATCTGCGCCCCCAGTAAGGCCTCCTCCATATTACGGGTACCCCTCATTATCACCTCCTCTGCTACCCCCTCAACTCCCAAAGGCTGAGGCACTGTGCCTCCGACACCTGTCCCCTCCCGAGCCAGACCCCTCAGACTCTCTGGAGTGTCTCTCTCTCTCTCTCCCCTTCCTGGCTCCCTCCCTGCTCAGCCTCCACTTAGCTAATACCCTAAGCCTCTGACAGGCCTCTCCCAGATAGAGAACCAGAGCACAAATCAATGGTTGCCACCCTGAGACTGGCAGGAGTGAGGGGTCAGAAAGCTCCAGGAAGTAACAACCTTAATCGTCTGCCGCACTTTTGATTTCAATGTCCTCTAAAATCTCAACAATTTCTGCCAGGAAACTCACAAATAGCCTAAGATTCTGCATCCGGGCCGCCTTTCCTCTGAGCTCCCGTCCCTTTCTCTGTATCTCCTGCTCCCCTTCCAAGTCCTCTTGACTAAAGAAAATTCCTCCTCTCCTGATTCTGGACCCCCCTCTGGTCTCTGCCTTTTCAGACCTGCCTGAACACCTTGTCTCCCCTCCTACTCACCCCTCTCCCTATTCTGGACATTTGCAGCTCCCCACGTCTTCTCCTGATCTACCTGCCTCGCTGGAAGAACCTGAGTCTGCACTCGCCTCGCAGGTTAGGAAGCACATGCGATCGCAAACCCCTCCTTGTCCTTTGTCCACTCTGGAATGGGGCCAGGACTGAAAAAGTGGTCCGGTTCATGTTCCCTTCTCTCGCACTGATTTATCTCAGATTGAAAAGTGTTTTGGATCCCTTATAATGATCCCACCACCTATATTAAGGAGTTTCCATTTTAAACTCAAGCTTATGATTTGTCCTGGCATGATATTTTTGTCATCCTTTCCTCTACCCTAACCGCAGATAATTTTTCTCACTGTTCAGCAGCACTCCAACCAGGTTCATTTAGCCCACCCTAATCTAGGTGGTTCCCAGACAAAAACCTGGTGAAAGTTATCAAATTAACAATCAAGCAGGTAGGGACAGATGTGCCTGCTGAAATAAAATGCTTCAGTGTGTCGTGACTTGGCTTCAGGCCATTTCCCATATAGGAGTCAATTTTGATAATCTTAAGATCACTTAAAAGCCTGACGAGAATACTACTACCTTTTTAAGCTGCTTAACTGCTGCTTTACATTAAAAGCTTAAAAAAGCAGAAGAAAGGCCCTCAAATCCTGGTCCGAGATTTAGCAAATATGGTATTTAAGGTTTTTAACAGCCATGAGGAGCAGGCAGTCAGCCGGTGATGCCTGGTTCTGGCAGAAGGTAAATTTTTAACCCAAGCCTTAGTAGCAGCCCTGTGGCCGGCGATTACCCCGAGGCCCCAGAAGGGCAGCGTGGGGCAAGGGTGTATGGGAACAACAACCGCCACCTGATGCCTGCTTCAAGTGCAGAGAAGGGCACTGGTCACAGAAGTTCCCCAGGCCTAAAGCTCCAACCAAACCCTGCCGGTGCAGTCAAAGTGGACACTGGAAGTCCGATTGTCCTTGGAAAAGCGACAGACCCTTTGCGTCTCCACGTCGGAGTACTGTCTTTCCAATTCCTGACCCGCTGTTGGCCCTGCTGGGATTGGCCGAAGTCTGAGGATACCCTGACTGGACCCCCATCACCCTCGCTGAGCCTGGGGCATTGCTCAAGGTATTGGGTGAGTAATTTCCTTCTGGCACAGAAGCTGTCTTTTCTGACCTGCCCTCATTTTCAGGGCTAAGCAATCCTTCCTCAATCTTGGTCATGGATATTGGTGGCAAGCCTACCTGCCCCAGGTGTACTAGCCCTTTACTCATTCCTCCTTAGAATCCCGTTGTGCCCAGTCCCTCTGTTGGGAAGAGACATTTTAAATTAGAAACCTCCTTACACCTTACTTTTGGTCTCACAGCACCTCTGCTCCTTCCCCTTCCTTCACCCGACCTGGAAGAACTGGCCCTACAGACCTCGCTGCTTCCTGGTGTTAACTCATCATATAATACCTCCTTTCTAACACCCTCATTACTCCTACCCACTCTCCCTGCAACACTCCAATCTTACCAGTAAAAAAACAAATCATACTTATCGCTTGGTCCAGGACCTGCGCCTCATTAACAAAGCTGTTATCCCCATGCACCCAGTAGCTCCCGACCCCTATTCTCTTCTGTCCCACATTCCCCCTTCCACTATACCTTTTTCACCTTCCCCCTTAACCCAGCTTGTCAGCATTCATTTGCCTTTACCTGCAG